TTGGGTTGGGTTGGGTTGGGTTGGGTTGGGTCATTGTTGGGTTGGTTTGATAACCCTTGGGTTGGGTTGGGTTGAGTTGGGTCACCCTTGGCTCGTCTCACCTTCCCTTGGGTGACCCCTCCCCCACCCCTCCCCCAGTTCAGACCCATTCTGACCCTCCCCCTCCAGGCCCCCCCCTCCCACCATGTCCCCCCCGACCCCCGACTACCTTTACCCCTACAACGACACGTGGGACGACTCCTTCCTGGACGACCTGGACGCGCCGTCGGTGCCGCTCACCCTGCGCTTCGTGCTGGCCCTCTACGCCCTCATCTTCCTCCTGGGCGTGCTGGGCAACGGCGCCGTGGTCTGGGTGACGGCGCTGGAGCTTCGCCGCACCGTCAACGGCGTCTGGTTCCTCAACCTGGCCGTGGCCGACCTGCTGTGCTGCCTGGCCCTGCCCTTCCTGGCGCTGCCCCTGGCCCGCGACCACCACTGGCCCCTGGGCGGGGTCTCGTGCCGGGTCGTGCCGTCGCTGACGGTGCTCAACATGTTCGCCAGCGTCCTGCTGCTGACGGGGCTCAGCGCCGACCGCTGCGCCCTCGTCACCCGCCCCGTCTGGTGCCACAACCACCGCACGCCGGGCCTGGCGCGGGGGGCCTGCGCCGGCGCCTGGGCGGCGGCCGCGCTGCTCACGCTGCCCTCCTTCGTCTTCCGCACCACCCGCGTCGACTCCTTCGCCGCCAAGACCACCTGCGTGCTGGACTACTCCCTGGTGGGCTCCCACCAGCGCCTCACCGAGGTGGCCACGGCGGTGACGCGGCTGCTCTGCGGCTTCGTGGGGCCGCTGGCGGTGATCTCGGCGTGCTACGGGCGCCTCCTGTGCCACCTGCGCGCCAAGGGCTCGGCGTGGCCCCAGCGGGCGACGCGGACGGTGCTGGCGGTGGTGGTGAGCTTCTTCGTCTGCTGGCTGCCCTACCACGCCGTGGGCGTGGCGCTGGCGGCGGCGCCGGCGGGCAGCGCGGCGTTCCGGGCGGCGCAGGACGCCGACCCCGTGGTGGCGGGGCTGGCCTACGTCAACAGCTGCCTCAACCCCCTCATCTACGTGGTGATGGGCCGGGCCTTCCGAAAACGCGTGCGCCGGTCGTGGAGGGGCGTCCTCAAGGGGGTCCTGGCAGACGAGCCCGTCTCCGGCGACGGCAAGAGCAAGAGCGGCACCACCACCCTGGAGGAGGAGCAGAGCGTGGGCACGGCGGTGTGAGGGGCGTTGGTCATCATCATCATCGTCATCGTCATGGGGGTCCCACCAGGGTGTGGGCATGGGGGTGTGAGGAGTGTTGGCCATCGTTGTCGTCATCGTCATCATCATCATCATCATCGTCATCATCCTGGGGGTCCCACCAGGGTGTGGGCACGGGGGTGTGAGGAGTGTTGACCATCGTCATCGTCATCGTCATCCTGGGGGTCCCACCAGGGTGTGGGCACGGGGGTGTGAGGAGTGTTGGCCATCGTCATCATCGTCATCATCATCATCATCATCATCAACCTGGGGGTCCCACCAGGGTGTGGGCACAGGGGTGTGAGAGGGGGTGGAGGCTCCTTGGCATCGTTGGCCATCATCATCATGGTCATCATCGTCATCGTCATGTGTGGGCACAGGGGTGTGAAGGGGGGGGTTGTTGGCATCGTTGGCATCGTTGGCCATCATCATCGCCATCCTGGGGGTCCCACCAGGGTGTGGGCACGGGGGTGTGAGGAGGGAGGTTCATTGGCA